CAGAATCGAGTCTTTAATATCTTTTTAATTTCCGTTTATTAACTCACATATATGGGACCACACAACACCTTTTGGACTACACAGCCTCTTCTTGGCTTTTCCTTAGGGGGTCAGATTCAAAGCCAGGCTCTGCCAGGGGCCGGCGGTGTGGCCCCGACTAAGTCCCCTCGTCGGAAACGGAGGCCGTGACTCCACAGGGGGCGTGCCCGCCCCACGCAGGGCCGCTATGAATACTCGCTGCTGCTTTCGTTGCTATTGTTTGGGGACAGAACAGGCCGCGTCCTGCAGACACGTCCAGGCGGCGCCCTCCCCGCCCCACGCTGCACTCGCATGAACTCTGCCTCCGACCCGCGTCGATGCATTTTGGTCTCTCGTGGGGGCCGGGCCGGGGGGGGCGTCCTGTCATTTGTTTTCTGACTTGAAACGAAACAACGCACCGCCACCGCCCGGCCAGCGGAGGCCGGTCTGCCTCCCGGGATGGAAGGGGCCGGGCCGGCCGCGCAGGGGAGGCCGCGGCGTCTCCGGGTCCGACCGCGGCCCGGCCCCTCGCCTTCCCCGCCGGCGCCCCGCTCCGGGCGCTCGGAGGCTCCGGAGCCGCGCGGAGTCCGGACGGCGGGGCGCGCGGCGCTGATTGGCGGAGCGGGCGCCCCGTCCAGGAAACGGCTCGGGTTTCAGGGGGCGTGACCCGCGGGGAGGCGGCGCGGGCGCGGCGGCGGCGGGGAGCGGGGAGCGCCGCGCAGAGCCGAGCGGGCGGGCGGGCGACGGCGGCGGGTGCGGAGCCACGAAGCTGGGGCGCCGCGAGGTCTGCGCGCGTAGCTGGCCCGGCGCGGCGACTGCTCTCCGGGCCGGCGGGGCCCGCGCGCGCCGAGGCCGCCGCTCCCCTGCGCGCTCCGAGCCGCCGCGAGCGGCGAGCAAAGTTTGGGGGAGGACCCGCCGCGCCCGCGTCCTTTCTTCCCCTCGCGCCCCGCATCCGAGCGCAGCCCGCGGCGTCATGCCCGCGCCCCCCCGCAGCCCGCGGCGCGCGTGAGGCTCGGAGCCTCGGCGCCGGCCGGGACCCCGGGACCTCTCGTTCCCCGTTGGAGTTTCCCGCGACCCGCCTCCGCCTCCGCCTCCGCCTCCGCCTCCGCCTCCATCCCGACCCAGCCGGGCGCGGGGACCGAGCCGATCGCCGCGGAGCGTTGCCATTCAAGGTAATCGCCGCGCCGGGCGCCTCGGGAGCCTCGCCAGCGGGGAGCGGGGCGCGCGGGAGCCCGGGCGGAGCCGGGGGAGCGGGGCGCCGGCGCCGGCGCCGAGGCTGCTCCGGTCCCTCCCTCCTCGGGGACGGGGAGCGGGGTGCGTGCTGGCCGCTGGGGTTGGGGAAGCGCGGCCGCCACCCCTCCAGCCAGATGCGGACATCGGTGCCCGCGCTGCCGCCCCGTCCCCGTCACACCCCCGCGGGCGCGGTCCCCCGGCCGGGCGCGACCCTCCGACCCCAGAGCCGGCGGCGAGGCGGGGCTGCCCGGCTGGTGGCACAGCCCGCAGGTCTGCGCTCAGAAGGGCATCTTCGGGGTCCCTCGTTCCAAGCCCCGGGGGACGTCTGCCCTGTGCCCTCCAGACCCCGGCGGGGGCCCGTCCCCGGGAAGGAGCCGCTGGAGCGGGGCGGGCGGCGTCGCCGGGGGTTTGGCGCTGCGCGGGGGAGGCGGCCCCTTGGGGGACCGGGCTGCTTCGGGTCTGCGATCGGTGCCCGGCGTCCCTCCGCCGCCGCGCCCCCGGGGCTAGGGGGCGACCTGCACCGGCTGTTGGCGTCCCGGCCGCTGCGCGCGGCGATGTCGAAAGCGCAGGCGAGTTCCCACTTGCGCGCTCGTTCCTCCCGCGGCGGCGGCTGGGGAATCCGCCGGCCCCGACCTCCCAGCGCGGGCCCGGCCCGGGGCCACGGCTCCCTCCGCCCGCTCCTCGCAGGCTCTTCCCCGGCGCCCGCCTTCCTCTCGCCCCGGGTCCCAGGAACCCTGCCCTTCACGGCGGACCTGCCGTCCCACTCGGGGCACCTCTGCTGTGCTCGGGGAGAGTCGCTACCCACGTTTGAAGCCCCATTGTCCCCGGGCCCCAAATCCCTGCAAATGGGCCTCGGGCCGGGACTCATTTTCATCTGAAAAGCCCGGTTAGTTTGAATAGAGCCGCAATCAGGCCGCTCTCGCTTTCCCTGGAATGCCAATTAAAATGCAGATTTCTGCGCGTTCTCCAGCGCGGGAGGAGGGGAACAGGGTATTCCAGGCAAACAAATGGAAGAAATGCTGCCTCGGAACCGGGCTGGTGCTGGCCGTGGCTCCGGAGCCCCAGGTCCGCATCTGCTCACAGGCGGCAGGGAGCGGGTTGTGCGCCCCGGGCAGCCCGCGTTTTGTATTTTTTGAGATTTCGGTGTTTTTTGAGGCATCATCCCGCTGCCCCATCCCATCTGACCCTTTGATAGCGACCTCTCGGCTCAGCCCTGGGAGAAGGGCAGTGCCAGCCAAGCCTGGGCCTGGAGACAGAGCTGCCCCCGGGGACCTGGGCACCCCCTCCCCCCAGGGCACTGTTCACGTTCCTGATACGAAACCCAAGAACAAAGCGCAGAAGGGCTCCCCGCGAGGGCGCCGGACAGACAGACAGCTAGCGGGGTGGGAGCCGATGAAGGGGGCCGGGTTGGCTTGCCTCCTTGGAGCTCAGGGGCGTGTGAGGATGTTCTGGTTCCTGGAGGGGGCCCAGCATAGACCCGTAGGGCCCACCCCCCAGCCAGGCTCTCCCATGGCCCCTTGGCCTGCTTGGGGGGGCGGGCAGGCTTGTGCCGAGGTGGGAACGGACCAGGGAGCGGGTGGTCGCCAAGAGCCATCCATCACGGGGGTGACAACTCCTGCCCCTGAGAAGAGAGTTCCCTTTCAAGGGGGAAAATAAACACGCGCTTTCACTGAGGCCTCAGACTCCAGGAAGGATTATGGTATTGAAGGCAGGAAGCCGGGATTGTGGCAGCGCGGCCTGCTGGGCCTGTGTTCCCAACACCGACGGGCCCTAATGGTCCTGCCTAGGAGGCCCCCGTCCCTGCGTCCCCTCCGTCCCCCGCGTCCCCTCCGTCCCCCGCGTCCCCTCCGTCCCCTCCGGTGAGGAGCTGAGCAGACCTGCCACCTCGTCCTCCGCCTCCAGGGGGTTGGGGAGGCTGCCGTGGCGTGGACCTGGAAATGGGGCTAGAAGTCGCGTTTCGGGTTCAGTCTGGACGGGATGAATGAGTGGCCTGGACTGAGCCGTGGTCACTGTCCACCTTCCTTTGCTCAGAGTCAGGAGGGCCCTCTGGGCGGGACGGGCAGGTGAGGCGGCCGGAAGCCGCTGGGGCTGAGATCTGCGGGGATTGAAGGCTGTTGGCAAAGTTGTCCGTGGCAGCACATTCCCAGGCGTTCTGCTGAGCAAATCAGTGAGAATGTTTGTGTTCCTTACCTCCCACGTGTGTGTGGAAATAGATACGGAATTATCTCTGGAGGCTTTTAACGTTAAGAGGGAAGAAAAGGTTGGGGGAAAATCCTGCAAGCTATCTGTAAACACAGAGTGTGTGCACACACACTCACACACACACTCACACACACACTCACACACACACTCACACACACACACGCATGCACACGCACGCACACACACTCACACACGCACACACACGCACACACATGCACACGCACGCACACACACACACTCACACACGCACACACTCACACACACGCGCACACACACACACACACTCACACACACACACACTTTTGCTGGGAATCACACCATTTCAGGTCTGCTGTCCAGAGCAGGCTTTTTCCCCCTGGGAATGGGAGCACCTCCTTTTTTCTCACCCGTTTTAACCTCCAGTCCCGGCTACAAGGAGCCGCTTCCCTGTGGAAGCTTTGGGGAGGCCCCGGCCGCGTGGAAATCCCGTCATAATTTGAACCATTAAGTGGGCATGCAAAACGCATGGGTTTAAGGGATTTTTATATGAAACCTGTAGGCACTCCCCCGACCCCCAGTCTTATGAAATGTGGTTCATTCATAGTGTTCACAGAGCCTGATTGTTGTAACCAGATTCGCAAAGTCTGTGCATGTGGGCTCTGCACTGGAGGAGACTGGGCCAGTGTGTGCAGTTCTGCGGGTCCGTGAAGCTTGGAAAATTCCCTTCGCATTAGGACCAGAGGGGGGACCGAACAGGACGCTGAGCGCCCCCGGGACCCATTCTGCTCTGAAATGGCAGCCAGTAGGTCTGCCTCCTGCAGGCCCCAGGCCCGGTCTCGACCGTGACCACCACTCACACATCGTCATCATCAGTCACCCCTGGGCTGGGCGTCCCGTTGGCACAGGCCCGGTTTCGCCCGCTGGGGGCAGCGAAGGCCTTGGCTGGGCCCGGCTGCGCAGTCTCGGGAGACGGGTTCCGGCCGAGCTGCTTTTCAGATCGGCCGCTCTGAGTACATTGCATTGCGGCTCCCGCTCCGTGAGTGGCTGTTTGGCGACAGGCTGCGGCCGCTTCTGCACTGGAAAATGAATCCTGACGAGTGTAAACGGGCGGGAATTTTGGGAGCTTCCTGGGATTCTTCCTGTGTTGAGCGCCCTGCTCGGCGCCACCTCCAGAGAAATAAGTCCCTACGGCCGCCTCCACCTCCATGGGTCAGCTTTCTTTGTTTTTCCCTTTAAATATATCTTTATTGATGTCAGAGAGGAAGGGAGAGAGCGACAGAAACATCAATCATGGGAGAGAACCATGGACGGCTGCCTCCTGCACGCCCCCCACTGGGGACTGAGCTCACAACCCGGGCCTGTGCCCTGACCGGGAATCAGACCCTGACCTCCTGGTTCCCAGGTCGATGCTTGGCCCCTGAGCCACACGGTCGGGCAGGATTCAGTTTTCTGACCTGCTGGGCCCGGGAGAACTTAGGGGCGGTTATGCCAACCTGAACACCCCCCCCCCCCCCCCCCGCTTTCCCAGTTGCCCTTGAGGCGGAGGTCACGTGGCTCCTGCTTCCCTTCCCCGTGGGGAGGCGATGCTGGACGGGAGGGGGGACTCTTGGCCTCACAGAAGCGGTGCACGGGCTGCGTCCTGGGCGCACGGTGGCTGTCTCCTAAAGTATGCCTTTCCCAAGGCCAGCCCCCCAGAGGCTGAGGACCTGCCTGGGGGGGACGCCTGGGACCCCAGGAGGGGCTGAGGACCTGCCTGGGGGGGACGCCTGGGACCCCAGGAGGGGCTGTGCACCTGCCTGGGGGGGGCGCCTGGGACCCCAGGCGCGGAGGGAAGGCGTGTGCAGACGCTGGAAAAACACTGAGCACAGTGGAGAGGCGACTGGGTGTGAGCATGAGCCCACCCGGCCCCGGAACGGGCGCAGGGACACGCACTGACCCGCCTCTCTCTCCTCCAGTGGCTGCAGCCCGCGCGGCGGGACCCTCGCGGCGTCCCCCGAGCCGCAGGCCGAGGCGCCGGCAGCCCATGCGCGCAGGGCCGGTGTGCAGATGGGAGTGCCGTCCACGCGGGGATGCGGCAGAGGACGGGGCCTCGGCACCGCCGCCCTGGTCAGCTGGGCCCGCGTCGGCTGCCTGCTGGCGGTCACCATGGCAACCCTGGCGCTGGCCCGGCCCTCCAGTTTAGTGCAGGACACCACGCTGGAGCCGGAAGGTGAGTGTTTTCATCTCGGGCGCCGGGCCGGTGGGGGGTTTGTCCGGGGAAGTGGCGCTCGGGCCGTGGCCGGTTCCGAACCTGCTGCGCTTGTGGGTCCTGTTTTGCAAACGTCCTCTGGGTTCGTAGCTTCTGTGAAGTCGGTGTCCCGGGTTATACAGTGAAAGAAGAGGTTGGAAAGGAGTCTCAGGGCCAGGGAGCCGGTCTCCTGACCCGGGGTCAGAGGTTAGGAGCGCAGGCTCTGGGCCCCGGCTGCAGGCGCAGAGGTGCGGTTTGCTGGTTTCTGGGGTGGGGTGTGTGTGGGGTTCTCTGTGCTTCAGGGTGGGGGGGGCGGCCGGCGCTCACTTTCACCCAGCGCCGGGGAGAGCCCAGCCGGGGAGAGCCAGGTAGGGGCCTGCGATCCCCCCCCCCCGCCCCCCCCAGCTCCCGGCAGCGGCATTCCCATCCCAGGGAGAGTCTCGCTCACAATGAACAGAATTGCGCTCGTAGCCGCTCAGGGACGTTGCCAACATCTGAAATGCTGACGTTTTATTTTCATTGTCTTAGAACAGAAACGAGCTTCCTAGCCCAGCCCGCAGAGGCTGGCCACGTTGGGTTTTGTTAGGTGTCTGTGAGCCGCCGTGTTTCGTGGCGCCGAGCGCCCGCCCGCTGTAGGCGGCTTGGAGAGCAGGGCTACCTGGCGCCTCGCCCGGAGGCCTCCGGGTCCGCAGGGCCTGCGGTGGCCGCGTGGGCTGGACACGGACCGGAAAGGCCCGCGAGAGCGCAGGTGGAGGCGGGTTGCTCAGCGGGGCCTCTGCTCGGTGCAGCGTGGAGATCTGTCGTCGGCAGGGAATATCGGCGCCCGGCTATTTCTCGGCGGAAACCCGAGAACAAGGCGGCAGGTCCCGGCTCTCATCGCCGCCTAATGAGCCTGCTTGCGGGAGCCCGCCTGCCGCCTGCTCCGTCCGGGGCCGCGGGGTCAGCTCAGGGCTCTGGGAGCGCCCCCTGAGCGCGAGGCTGGACCAGGACCGGGCAGCCCGTCCAGAACAGGGCGGGAGGAGGCCCGCGGTCCTGTCCCAGGTGGGAGCGCTGAGCGAGGCCCTCCCCACCCCAGGACCCCCTGCGTGGGTTGTGAAGAGCTAGGGCAGACCTCTTTCTGACCCGGAGGCCATCAGGGAACCCCCAGTGAGAAGCGCCCTTTCCTGACACGGAGGCAGGGAGGCAGGGAGGCTGTAGTGAGCAGGTGTGGTGACCTCCCTGTGGCCTCCAGGCCTTGGGGAAGGGAATCTGGTAAGAGTTGGTGTCCCAGGTTGTAGCTACGACACCCATGGGACTGCCTCCGTGTGACACCAGCATGAATGCAATTTGCAAGGGTGATGCGTTTAAAAAAAATCGATTTTAGAGCCCGGCTGGCGTGGCTCAGTGGTGGAGCATTGACCTATGAACCAGGAGGTCAGGGTTCGATTCCCAGTCAGGGCACAGGCCTAGGTTACGGGCTCGATCCCCAGTGCGGGGCGTGCAGGAGGCAGCCGATTGGTGATTCTCTCGTCATTGATGTTTCTCTCTCCCTTTCCCTTCCTCTCTGAAATCAATAAAAATATATTTGAAAAATAAATAAAGATTGACTTGGGGGGGGGGGGGACATCCATTTGTTGTTCCATTTGCTCATGCATTCATTGGTTGCTTCTTGGCTGTGCCCAGACCGCGGACTGAACCGGAACCTTGCTGCGTGGGGGCGATGCTCTCACCGGCTGAGCTGTCCAGCCAGGGCCGCGCTGATGTGTTTCGAAAGGGCTCGGAAGGCTGCTGGTTTCTGAAAGCCAGGCCTGGACTCCTTTAATTTTGCTAATAATTAAAATGGATGTTTCCCTAATTGCCGGTGTTCCCTGGAGTGCGGGGCTCGGCGCACACGGAGGCCGCTGAGCTGGGACTCCGACCGCGGGAGCCCAGCGTGGCCCCGGTGAGGGAAAAGCTGTCCTTTTCCATTTAGACTCGCAGGGCAGCGTTATGGGGAGTTTATTCCAACATAAAATGTAAAGCGGTCCTGGCGGACTCCTCGTATCGCATTTAATTATTGAAGAAAGTTTAGAGTGTGTGTGCGTACTCGCTGGAGGGGGGCGGCGGGAGGGGGGGCGGGAGGGGAGGACCCCTGCGGCTCCTGGTGCGACAGCTCGGATCCAGCCTGTGTTGTTGAGAGCAGGCCTCCCGCACCTGGAATGGGGGGCGGGGGGCAGGGAGGCCCGTGAACGCCCTAACCTGTGGGTCCTGTGTCGCATGTGTCCTCTGTGCATCTTTCTGGGCTCATGTTTCTGTGAAGTTTGTGTCCAGGGCTCTGAGAGGTTAAAGGAAGGAGAAGGTTTCGTGGGAGGAGGAAACGGCTCTGGAACCCTGGGTCTCAGCTTGTCTTTCTGTGCCCGAGGGTTTGGTCAGATGACCTTTAGGGCCGGCATGAAGGTCAGATGAGGTCAGTCTCCTCAGAAGCCTCAGAAACCTGCTTGGAAAGGTGCCGGAGCCCTGGTTGGTGGCTCAGCGGTTAGAGCGTCGGCCCGAACACCAAGGGGCTGTGGGTTCGATTCCCGGTCAAGGGCGCGTACTTGGGTTGCAGGTTCAATCCCCAGCCCTGGTTGGTGTGCTTGTAGGAGGCAACCATTCTCTCTCTCTCTCCCCCTCTCTCTCCCTCTCTCTCTCCCCTCTCCCCTCTCCCCTCTCCCCTCTCCCCTCTCCCCTCTCCCCCTCCCTTTCTTCACCCCTCCCTCCCTTTCCCTCTAAAAACATCAATGGGAAGAAAAAGGCCGTTGGAGCCTAAAGAGCCGTTAGCACAGGGCCTGGCATCTACCCCCCCCCCCCCCCCCGTCATCCCCCCGGGAGCCAGGCGGGGCGCCTGCGGGTCCTGTGGCCGCGGACGATGTATCGCAGACCCTGGATTAGAGGCCTCCCCGTCTCCAGGCAGCTGTGTCTGCTTCTGTGGCGTCCGCTGGGCTGGCCTGTTAGCGCCTCATGGCAGCCGATCGGAGCCCCGAGATGGGTTCTTCCCTGGAACGAGTTTTGCTTTGGTGTCAGAGGTTATTCGGAAGGAAATCTGCTGATAGACGAGAAAAGAGTTTTGACAACGGAGAGCCCGACTGCCTGAGGCAGCTCCTGTGGAGGCCGCGTCACGCCAAGTCCGTGTGTGAGTGTGTGAGTGTGTGTGTGTGTATGTGTGAGTGTGCATGAGTGTGTGTGAGTGTGTGTATGTGTGAGTGTGCGTGTGCGCGCGTGTGCGTGAGTGTGTGTGTGAGTGCGTGTGTATGTGTGAGTGTGTGTGTGTGAGTGCGTGTGTGTGTGAGTGCGTGTGTGTATGTGTGAGTGCGTGTGTGTGCGTGTGTGGGTGCATGTGTCTGCGTGTGTATGAGTGTGTGTGAGTGTGCATGTGCGTGCGGACGCGTGTGTGAGTGTATGTATGCGTGTGTGTATGTGTGTGCGAGTGCGCGCGCGCGTGTGTGTGAGTGTGTGTGTGTGAGAGTGCGTGTGTGTGTATGTGTGAGTGTGCGTGTGTGTGCGTGTGTGGGTGCGTGTGTGTGCGTGTGTGCGTGTGTGAGTGTGCGTGTGCGTGTGCATGCGTGTGTGAGTGTGTATGCGTGTGTGTATGCGTGTGCGTGAGTGTGTATGCATGTGTGTGTGAGTGTATGCGTGTGTGTATGCTTGTGTGTATGCATGTGCATGTGTATGTGTGTGTATGCATGTATGTGTGTGCGTGTGTGTGAGTGCGTGAGTGTGTGCGTGTGCATGAGTGTGCGCGCGTGTGCGCGTGTGCGTGAGTGTGTGCGTGAGTGTGTGTGAGTGCGTGTGTGTATGTGTGTGTGCGTGTGCATGAGTGTGTGTGTGAGTGCGTGTGTGTGTGTGTATGTGTGTGTGCACATGAGTGTGTGTGAGTGTGTGTGCGTGTGCATGAGTGTGTGTGAGTGCGTGTGTGTGTGCACGAGTGTGTGTGTGTGCGTGTGCGTGTGCATGAGTGTGTGAGTTCGTGTGTGTATGTGTGAGTGTGTGTGTGCATGAGTGTGTGTGTGTGCGTGTGCATGAGTGTGTGCGTATGTGTGTGTGAGTGCATGAGTGTGTGTGTGCATGTGTGTGTATGTGTGTGTATGTGTGTGTGTGAGTGCTTGTGTGTGTGCGCGCGCGTGTGTGAGTGTGTGTATGAGTGTGCGTGTGTGGGTGCATGTGTGTGCGTGTGTATGAGTGTGTGAGTGTGCGCGCGCACGTGTGTGTATGCGTGTGTGTATGTGTGTGCGTGCGCGTGAGTGCGTGTGTGTATGTGTGCATGTGTGTGCGTATGAGTCTGTGTGAGTGTGCGTGTGCGTGCGCATGTGTGTGTGAGTGTGTGTATGCGTGTGCGTGTGCGTATGTGTGCGTATGTGTGTGTATGCGTGTGTATGCATGTATGTGTATGCGTGTGTGAGTGTGTATGCTTGTGTGTATGCGTGTGTATGTGTATGCTTGTGTGTATGCATGTATGTGTGTGCGTGTGTGTGAGTGTGTGCGTGTGTGTGAGTGTGTGAGTGTGTGTGTGGACACGGACCCGTCCGCGTGTCCATCACTGCCCGTCTGGCCCCCTTGGTACTGCAGCTGTGGCTGTGGCTACAGTAACTTCAACCTTGACCTTCTATTGCACAAGGGCCTTATCTCGAAGACGTTGTGGTTTGATCGTTGGAAGCTCAGTGTAGATAACGCTCTTGGGCTCGACCAGAGGAAACTGTCCAGGGACAAATGTGACGAAGTTCCAGGAAGGAGCCTGAGCGCTAACCCGAGAGGGTCCTCGTCTGCTTTTCTCAGCTCCCCCCGCCGCATCCGTGTCATCGCGGCCTCTGCCGTCGTCTCCGTGGTCACAGTAGGGCTGGGTCTACTCTGCCGACTAAGAAGCAGTCGCCGGGAGATTGTAATGGTTAATATTCCGGATTAAAAATGCATATTGTCCATCGGTCATTCCCTGTCGGGGACCAGCTGGAGGGGCTGCGCTCAGCTCTGGAGGAGGGTCCTCCTGCCAA